TAGCATTTATTACAGTAAAACCCCTTTATATGTGATTAAAAACTGAGATCTCCCCTTTTAGAATCCTTCCACTTCATTATCTAATCAATTGTTGCGGGTCTCATTGCTAATACTTCTCCCAACATGTTGCTCTAGATGTCATGGAATGCAGTATGGTCCATGGAAATCATTTCAATGAAAATTTTAAATGTTTTGAGTTTTTGAAGTTCTTATGCTTAGTTTCCTTGGGTTCGGATTGGGTTTTACCTGATTTTCTTTTTACCAACTTATTACAGATGTTTTTCAGTTGATTCAATCTATTTGACTCTGACTGTAATCCAGTTTTTGAGCTGAATTGATATAGATAGACTGATTTCATTTTTTGTTTGTGCTTGGAGGGATTGATTTGCGAGGGTGGCAATGATGAGATGAAACCATAGACGGAGCAAATGAGGAAGGAGTTAGATTGAATTAGTGTAAAATTTGCAGAGTTTTCATTATAGTTACTACATAATCCACTAACCATCATAATTTCCACCCACCTAGCGTTTGGCTTATTTTCTAAACCTCGTTAATATCCTTATTAAAACATCATTGCGGTTATTCTTGGCAGCATGTATGGGGGTAAGCGCACCGAGCCGAGCAAGAACTTGTGCATGGCCAAATTCATTTATTATAAACCTGATATGGCTCAATTCAAGCTTGATTCAAGCTTTTATGTTTGTGTTAAGTGGTTCATTGAAAATCATAGTTGTTTGAGCTCAGCTCTTCTTTGGTTCATTTAGTGAATAAACATGCCTTATTGTGCCATTAACAAGCTCTACTATCGACTGCTTTGTGCCAGATGAGCTTTATCAAGCATATTAATGAGTGCCACTTGCTTGCTAACTAAATGGGCCTTATTGAACCCATTAACAAACTAACATATCTTGCCTTATCTAGCTCATTAATGAACAAAAATATCAAGCGTTATCAATCCCATTAACAAAATAACCAATCAAGTCTCATAGCACTTATTAACAGCTAACATGTCGAGCTTAATAAATGATACTATAGTTG